AAACTTCTTCAATAACTTAGGTGGACAGTTATTTCGACCCAACTTTTGGTCTTGCAGATATGTAGAGAGATATTCTCAAGTGGTTTGTCTTCAAATAGTATACTAGTATGCCATTCTTAGAATTAGATTGGTTTCAATCCAAATTCGGTCCATTAATGCCTATATTCTTATCTTATATTAATGGATTGGATATTGACTTAATCCAACCGAATCCAATATAAATTTATTATGAATGATTCAGGTCACTCCAATCTAATAAATATTTTAGACCAAATTAATTCAATCTAATATGTTTTATTGGTCCATTCAATCCGTTCAACTTGATTTTGAGCTGAATGGGTCCAATCTAATATATATAGAGAGAGAGAGAGGGGCGTAGGCCACCACTTGGTCCAACAGTACTGCCTGTGTAAAAATATCCCAAGTAATTTTTAAGTTTATTAGTAGAAATATGAATGGGGCTTGTCACTGTATAGCCCAAGCACTCATCAAGAAGGAGATGCACCGGTCATTTGGATCATGTCGGATGTGCAACTTAGATGTACATAAAAATACCATCATAACCGATACTAGGACCCTTCTGTGGAACTTGTCAAATTTTAGTCCCCTATAGGCCTATACCCCCCACAGATCATTTGGATGTAATGCTCCTAAAACCACTCATGGTGGTCAATCAGTCAATCACTCCCTTGATGATGATTTGATGCAATGAATTTGCATATCGATCGGCTCCTAGAATCACTTTATGACCCCTATTAATTGCTTTTCCAATTTGGTCGGATAAATTAGACTTTGAATGGGTTACTGTTATCTGGAGAGAATACCAACTCAATGAGGGTTATAGGGCTGACATAGATAAAGAGGACTGAACACGTGGCATATCTAGAGTCTAGAGAACCCTTTTATCTTTCCACGTTGCAAAAATAATATGGACCAAGAAGAGAAGAACCCTATGGCCCAAATACAAGACCCTTTCCCCCCAATATAGTACCATTTGAATTTTGAAGAACAGAAATAATCGTCAAAGAACCAAGAAGGGGTCAATGATTCAAATCAAAGTTGGTGGGAGACTAATCGCGTGGAAAAATGGTCATCACATTGATCTTCACGCGGGCGTCTTTACTCAAACGAAGCCAAATCGCGTCATTTGAAGACTGAGGCACCTGACTTCGTCGGATTGTGGTGGGTGAATTGAAATTTGAAAATGTTCAAATTGCACCTTTTAGTCTTGTGTATGAAATCGAAACTCGGATATGCTCTTTACAGACCGCGCCTAACGCCTCGCAAATAAGATATGCAGCCTTTTATTTTGCGTTAATAGAAATTGATAAATGTAATGTTGTTAAAATAATTAATCTTTATTTTGTAATTTGTTAAAAAATAATTTAATAATTTATAAATTTGGATTAACTATATTAATAATTTTTAATAAAAATGATAAGTCACCGCTAATTATTTAATAAAATAAGTATTTTTTCATTATTATCTATTAGTGTTCTATTTATTTTATTACTGATTAAATGTTACAATTTTTTATAAATATTACTTGAATATTTAAAATACTTAAACATTAGTAAATATATAAAATTGGGCTGTAGTTATAATTAAGTTCATCTATACATTACCTTTTTTTAGTCATAAGTAAATTACTCTAAGCCCAAGCTCGACATTTAAGACTTCAGGTTGGGCTTGGGTTGATCCTCAACCTTATCCAACCCACCCAAGTTGCACGCTTAAGAACAATGTTACATTCATAATTGGATCGAGCCAAACCGAATTTAACCTATTCATGCATTATTTTTGGGCTTTTAACTATTTCTAAATAGCATTGAAGCCAAAGGAGATATGGGGGATAGGCTACCTTCATTGTGTAGACCAATGTACCAAAAAATAAATAAATAAATAAATAACAGATCTTAAACCAGATTTTGATAGTGTATTAATAAGGTTGCCTGGCCCAGACTGACCCACACCTCAAATGTAAATATTTGTCTGGGCTTAAGTTAGAGACAAAATTGCCCATGTTAATTGTAAAATTATGATTTTTTACAAATTAAAAATTTTATTTAATTTTATTCTATTATAAAATATATAAATATTTCAATATATATTAATATAAAATTTGCTATCTAAATATATAATAATATTTACTATATATATTAGGTATATAACTTCTAGGTCAAACTTAGTGGTTGGTTAGCTTGGGCACTTGCATCCGATTAATAATTGGATTGGGTGCAGATTTAACCCCATGTGATTTGATTAAAATTTGAGTTTTGTAAAAAAATATTATTTTAATGTATATATGTGGTATAATTATGTAGACATATAGATGTTATGTATAATTATATAAAGTTTATAATTGATAAATTTAATATTTTTTATTTATATACATTTATTACATATATGCTGCAAAAATAATTACTTCGTTAAAAATGTTTTATAAGTTTTGGTGATTTTAAACACAACAAGATGGTTGTGCATTAAATCCGAAATCTAACATAATAATCAAATGCAGATTTGACCTAGAGATTTCATAATTGGATGCATTTTCAGATGCACTTGGTTTCGATCTGAATCCAATCTCTTTATAGCCCTACTACTCACATTATGTATGGGCTTGGTGCAAATCCAAGCTCGACCTAGGTTAGAAGAAAATAGTCACTTGAGCCCATAGATTTATAGGTCTAAACGAGTTGGGCAAAGTTATAAATGATCATTCCTAAGTAGGAGTCATATGGCATTTTCAATTGGGTGATTATTAGTTTTATTATTTTAATAATTTTTATATGGAATGCAAATGGTTTGTTTTATATCCTCTTACTTATTATTAATAATTTTAATTATCCTATTAAAATTAATAGTATTTTTTAATATTTTTATTAATTTTATTTAATAGGTTTCAACTTATAATTTTTGACAATTAACCAATTAAATATAATTTGAATATGAAATAAAAATTAGGAAGAGAGTAAAATTCTCTCTCTCTCTCTCTCTCTCTCTTTGGACAACAATAGACTAATAATGTAAGATACCTATAGAAATATGCTAAAATAGGTTAATGATGGAAAGGTGGGAACTATGTCTTAGAATTCTTTCTCTATCTCTCATTATTTTTAGGTGATTTAACTATTTATGATATTTTTATTAATTAATTTTTAATCTATTATTTGTTTACAGGCTATGTTGGGCCCACGTTGGCCTTGAAATATTAGGCCCATCTTGGCCCTGAAATTTATGAGCCTCATGGGGCTCAGGACCAGGCTGGAATCAAATAATCACCCCTAAGTAAATTGCTTTTGGTTTATATATATATATAATGATCACTCCTAAGCAAATTGCTTTTGGTTTATTAGATTAATGAGGAGAGGATAGATAATAAAATAAAAAGAAAAAATAGAAAAAAGGGAAAAAAGAGTTCGCAATGCATACATACATAGAAAAAACTTATGAGAGATGATCGCAATGCATGACTAAAAGTGTTCTGAGGCACATTCAATGGAGATAGGATTAATTGAACCCTTTAATTGTTCAACAGTATGTGGATCCAATAATTATACTCCACACAGTCCTAAAATACATGGGATCCATAACCATTCAACCTCTTAGTGTGCACCCATCTATTTTGTCACTAACATACGGCATTATATCATTGGATCCGCATAAACATTTTAGCCATGTAGAAAGTTGTGGAACTAATGATAATGCCCTACATAAGTGTTAAAAGATAGTGACAATGTTGATGCATACTTTTTTAAACCCCTAAATTTACTCTCTGTGGAGGGGGGCACTGAAATTTTATTAATTTCAAAATAAATAAACCTAGGAGGGGGGCTATCTAGGACTCACTTTATTACTGTTTGTCACTGCCTCTAACTAATTACAATCCAAAGGCCTACTGGTTTTAACAAAACTTCCCCCCCCCCCCCCAACTTTATACTTGGCTCCTCTCCTGTTTTTAAGAGACATGACCACTCCTCTATAATTTTATTTTTTTAAAATTTATTTATTTTTATATTTTAATTATTTGATTTATGATATTACAATTTGAGTCATCTGATGACTCCTCACTTAGAGACAATCTGTTTCATAGAATATTTGTTGAAATGAGATCTTCTAAAAGAATAAATTGTGTTTAGATCCTAAGAGCATGACATCCAGCCACACATAGGGAATATATTATTTCCTATGAATATAGCGTACAAATACCTAGAAATGGAATTGATTTTGTCTGGTTTCTATAGCTCAGTGGGTTAAAATGAGAATATTAGGGGGTGAGAGTGAAAAAAGGATTCTTTTGGTTTAAAGAAAAGAGAACAATGACTAAGAAAGAGGAGGTAGTGGTCGTGATCGTGATGATAGTTAAAGTCATGATCATGATCATTATCATTATCACCATCATTTGTAGACTTGTAGTGGCTTGCTAATCACTATCGTTGCAGTGACCAACCCGTCACCACTGTTCCTCTTTCTTGATCTCATGTCAAAATTCACTATCTTTGGCTTCTTTTGTTTTCATATATGAGTTTTCCCTCTCTTTTTCCTCTCAAATGTCTCTTTCTCTCTAACTATCTCGCTTAGGTCTAGATCTTAGTTTTCCCTCTATTATCTATCAAATCCCTCTTCTTCTATCACTATCGTTACAGTCGTTTATTAGGAATATCTCCATATGCTTTTCTTTTTTTCCCTTGAGAGATATTCCCGAAGAAATCATCGCTGGCTGACTCAAACCATGGTTTCTCTCAAGGGAAGAGAAACCATGTTAGATAAAGAATATCTTTTTGTTTCTTCAGTCAAAGCGACGTAAAACAGCCGGCCATACCGGACCACCTTCACCAACAGGCAACTCACCAACCAATTCTACTCAACAAAAGACAGCTAGTCCTCGTCAAGTTTTACCCCTCTTAATAAATCCAAAACTCCAATCAACTCTCCACCTGCGCGCCTACCTTCACTCACTACTATATAACCTTCTCCTCTTGTCTTAATTCCTCAAGATCCCAGCCAACCTCAAACCCGAACCATCTCTCTCTCTCTGTAACTATAATGGCTCCAGCTGCTCCGGTGGAGACTGCAATGAAGCAAAAGGAATTCATTTACAGGTCGAAGCTTCCGGATATCTACATCCCGAACCATCTTCCTCTGCACTCATATTTCTTTGAAAACATATCACAGTTCGGCTCCCGGCCATGTCTGATAAACGGCGCCACCGGCGAGACATACACTTACACTGAAGTAGAACTCATCTCCAGAAAAGTAGCAGCTGGGCTTGACAAACTTGGCATCAAACAGGGTCAAGTGATCATGCTTCTGCTGCCCAACTCGCCCGAGTTCGTCTTCGCCTTCCTCGGCGCGTCTTACCGCGGTGCCACCAACACAACAGCGAATCCCTTCTACACCTCGGCGGAGATCGCCAAACAAGCCAAAGCCTCCAACGCCAGACTTATCATAACACAAGCCTGCCATGTTGAGAAACTGAGGGAATTTGCCAAGGAGAACGACGTTAAGATCATGACTACCGACGCACCCACCGATGGTTGTGTGCATTTCTCCGAGCTGACTCAGTCTGATGAGTCAGAAATGCCCGCCGTAAAGATTCACCCTGACGACGTCGTCGCCCTACCTTACTCATCGGGAACAACTGGGTTGCCCAAAGGTGTGATGCTGACTCACAGGAGTCTCGTAACCAGCATTGCGCAACAGGTTGACGGAGACAACCCTAACATGTATCTTCACAGTGAGGACGTGTTGTTATGTGTTCTGCCTCTCTTCCACATCTACTCGCTTAACTCGGTGTTGTTTTGCGGGTTACGAGCCGGCGCGGCAATTCTGATCATGCAAAAATTCGAGGTTGTGGCAATGATGGAGCTCATACAAAAATACAAGGTAACCGTCACTCCATTTGTCCCTCCGATCGTCTTGGCACTGGTTAAGAACCCGGCCGTCGATAGCTACGACCTGTCGTCCGTCCGTACGGTGATGTCCGGTGCCGCTCCGATGGGAAAGGAGCTTGAAGATGCTCTCAGAGCTAAGCTTCCTAATGCTACGCTTGGCCAGGTGAGCATTAATTAATCTGATTGTGCGTGGGTCTTGAGTTTTCTTTTCTATTTATTTGAATTATAGTAATCTCATTTACGTATTTTTTTTTTTTTATTTCTACCAAAAATATCTATTCTTGCCGGAAAAATCTAAAGTTTTTGTGGTTCAATTTGAAAATAGGGATACGGGATGACGGAGGCCGGGCCGGTTTTGTCGATGAGTTTGGCATTTGCGAAGGAGCCATTTGAGGTAAAATCAGGATCATCTGGGACTCCAGTTAGGAACGCCCAGATGAAGATTGTTGATCCGGAAACTGGTGAATCCTTGCCCAGAAATAAACGGGGAGAGATTTGCATCAGAGGAGCCCAAATCATGAAAGGTATAGGCTTGATTTCTCCAATTTCTGATTTTCAGACTGAAATATTTCAGCTCTTACTCCTATACCATTTTAAAAAAGGAGAAGCATTTCTTTCCATCCCTTCCAAATTTGTTTTCAGACTGAAATATTTCAATCTCTAAAAGCTTTTGCTCATTTTAAGTTGAAAAATTAATAGAGCCTGCGTTAAAATGAGAAAAAAAAAAAAATGAAAGCATGATATTCTCCAATTTGAAGACTGCATCAGGGTGAGTTACGTTTGGGGTTCAGACCTATTGCAAATTCAACAAATTCCTAATGTAACTCTAACCCAAATTAGAAGGATAACCAATGGGTTAGGTTAAGCGGTAAACTTGAATTGACCTTGGATTAGGGTTGAATCAGACTTAATAGATTTTGGGTTAATCTTTGAGTCGTTTTATTGATCAGATAGGTCGTTAATAAAGTTGGTGAAAATGAAAGGTTTATAAGATATAAAGCGTGGACCAAGTTGTGGAAATAAGAAAAACAGTGGACCTAAACAATGGCTGGTCAATAATCACATTCGGTTCAGTACCGTTGATGTGGATGTGGATAATTAACTAGGTCGGGTTTTATTATTACCCGACTATAAACTGAATATTTAACAATAGCAGCTCACCTGGAAATCATATGCCGGTTCGGTTCCTTCAAAAACTGCTATTTCGGTTCAGTTTGTTATGGCCTTATGTTCGAATTTATTTGTTTATTTGTTTATTTATTTATTTATTTTGAAAGAAATTCAACAACTTTGTCGAAAAGCATTGGAATGACATATTTACCCTTTTATTCAGGATATCTAAACGACCCAGAAGCCACAAAGAGAACCATAGGCACAGATGGCTGGTTACATACTGGAGATATTGGCTACATTGACGATAATGGTGAGGTCTTCATTGTTGATCGATTGAAAGAATTGATCAAGTACAACGGTTTCCAAGTAGCCCCAGCTGAGCTCGAAGCATTGCTCCTCACTCATTCCAACATCTCGGATGCTGCCGTGGTCCCGTAAGTTCCCTAACATTTCTGTTCATTTTTATCGACCGAGAGATCAAATTCTAACCAGGCAGCTCATCAACTGTATATTTCAGCATGAAAGACGAGCGTAACGGAGAGATCCCTGTCGCATTTATCGTAAGATCAAACGGTTCTCAGATCACTGAGGATGAAATCAAGGAATACATCTCAAAACAGGTGAATTTTGAATTTTGTTCATTACATCAAAGTTCCTTAAACAGTTTAAAAAGAGTGCAAATACAAATACAAATAAGTATAATACATATAAAATATAAGATTTTACACTACTATATATTTAGAGTTATACTCTTCAGATCTATCTGACAGTGACCCTAAAATTCAGATCTAAACTCGACCTTGGAACCGACTCCCGAATTAAGAACACAATCTCTGAACCCACCCCATGACCCCAACCCAATAGAGCTCAACTCGATACTGATTCAACCTGATCAGTAGTCTTTCAATTGTATTTTTTTTGTGATGTTTTTCGAAAATTCAAACGTATTTGTGAAGCTGGGTTTATCATTTAAATAAAGATAAAGATTTTTGAATCCTGATTAAATAAAGATTTTCACAATTTTAACCTGTTAGCCATCTGACATGACCAAGTGAACATTCTCTTTTTATGTCTAATCTGTGGGGAAATTTAATCACAGCTGAACTGCTGCTCTAAAAGATTAATTATTGCTTTAATTTATCTTTTAGTGGACAAAATAATTAAATAAAAAAATAATCAAAGGTATATTAATATGCCAAACTTCAGCTTCAGCCATTAAGTAGCCTTAAAATCATATTTATTCACTAAAACACAAAATAGTAAGTTTTTCAGTTCAATTATTATCAAACCACCGTGTCTTATGCCATTGCCTTATAAAGACACAAATTTGTGGAATATCAGGTCTTCTTACTGGTTGTGATGGTGCAGGTTGTATATTATAAAAGAATTAAGCGGGTTTTCTTCACCAAAGCCATTCCAAAGGCGCCATCTGGCAAGATCTTGAGGAAGGAATTGAAGGCAAAGCTGGAAGTTGGTGCTCCCAACTAAGACTAGTTTTAACACTCTAGCTCTAGTTTTTCTCTATTCAACCATATCTTTGTGTATAGGAGAAAGGCACAAATGCCCTACTTTGACAATGGGAATTCTTCAACGACCTGATTCCCATTCATTTTTTTCTCTCTTTCGGATACAAAATAGAAATAAAAAGAAAATCAGATAATTGTTTAATTTCTAGGTTTGAATTTATCTATGTAATGTTAGACTAACTGAAGAAACTTCAGAAATATCAATAAAATTTGCTATTCTTTATTTGTTAGGTTTTGTCTTGACTCTTCAGCAGACTCTTCAGAGATGAATTCTACTGTCTTTGAACAATTTTCTTTTAATAAAATGGAAAAGCGGAATACACAACACATGGGTAACCCTCCTCCAAACATCACAAAAACAAAGGAAGAAAACACTACTAGCACCTACATACTCTCCAAAGAGTCCTCCGAACCCTTCATTAATCAGCCAGTGTTTGGTTGCAATGCACATAAATTTGCACTAATGCAAAACTGTAGCAGTGCAAATGATTTGAGTGTAAATCCTGATTTATTTTTGTTCTAAATTTTAGTTTATTTTGTTTGATTGTAGTATAAATGAAGGAAATTAAGATATGAAGCAAAAGAAACTAAAACCCAAAACAAATTAAATAAGAATTTGCATTTTTTTCATTTGCACTCTCATGTATTTATACTAGTGCAAATAAAATTGCACTGCAACCAAACACAGCATCAACAACAAAATTTGTTTCCCCAAAATACTGAATATTAAGCTTCCACCTCTAGCTCTGATAGCATTCTTCAAAGATGTTACTAATACTCCAGGGAGGAACACTTCAACCATTTAAGCAATAAACCACGAGCTTCGATTCCCCTTAATAGTGATATTGTATCTAGCAAATTCTTTTGCCAACTCACAAATGGAATGGACACCAATTCGTTTACTACAAAATCTTAATATCTAAGTATTCTCATCCCTCAATGGCAGCAAGCCCATCAAGGGATTTGTCCAGTTTTCACTAAACCAAAAATCAATTGAAATTGATACAACCTGATTTGGCTGAATTTTACTAACAATTAGTCAGTTTCGAGTGATCAATTCCACAACTTGACTAGGTTGATTTGGTTGGCCAAAAAGCCTGCAACCGAATCAAACCAACCTATGAACACTCCTAATTTCAACTAAACTAATAATCAAATTTCTAATAAATAACAATAGTTTAATCTCCAATAATTATTAAAAATTTATAGAAAAAGTACACAACTATTGAAAATAAATGTATAATGAATATAAATAAATACTGTAAATATATTAAATTGGTCAATAAATAGTGTAATCCCAAAAATTGTTTAATCTCTAACAAATTTTAATAAATAAATCATAACAAAAATACATAATTACTAAAAGTAAATTTATAACAAAAATATAATAAATACAATAAGTACAATGAATTAAATTTAAAAAGTTAAATAAAAGTAGCTTAATCTTCAATAGTTATTGAAAAATTTATGTTAAATAGAAAAACGAAAATAGATTTATACATAATTATTGAAAATATTGAAAATATATTTTTCACAAAAATACAACAAATAATTATTGAAAATAAATAAATTTTTAAGTTGTCATGTAGTTTGGATCAAAAATGGGTATGGATCTAGATATGAAGCACCCATTCTCTTAAGAAGATAATGCTTATCTAATTAGAGATAAAGTCCTTATCCAAATTTGATTTGAGTCAGCTTCTAATAAGATTAGGATTGTGCTGCACATAAGGGACTAAGAGGGGAGGAACAATTCACTCCATTCTCCCCATGCTCTTGCGCTCTTCTCTTCCCCCTTGCTTTCCACAAACCCTAGTGCAAACCAACTATGTTAAGGGATGGTTCTCATCAGTTCTCTGTTGTGTTTTTGGAAGAAAAACATAAGAGGGTATTAGGTTCTCACAACTACATCGATCCAAAAAAGTTGGGAATCGGTTTTGCTGACACGGTGTTACTGAATCGGCTTCACACACACAACTATGTCATCTTTAGTTGGAGGTCGATTTTGGGTTTGATATTGGATGTGAACTACCACTAGGAAGTGCACACTAAGGTCTCCGTATTAGGTATAATTACTATTAATTTGGGTTTCCTATTCAGTGCATGCAAGACCATTTCCGAAATTTTAGATTTCAAAATCACTAGGAAACCGAATCTTGGTTTGGGTTAGAAAAATGTTAAAATTCGGCCAGCCACTAGATCTAGTTTCACTATATCTAATTTGATTTTTAACCCTTCCAATAGTAGTATCCAATAGTAGTATAAGAGTGCTAGGTTCAACTTCCAATAGTAGTATTAGAGCGCTAGGCTCAACTTCCAATAGTAGTATTTGGCTAATTTAGTCTAGCCGATTTGACCTAGTTAACGTATGAACTAAGAATTTGGTTCTCAATTTAGGTCAATGATCTAAAATTTAGTCTTCATATATTTTGATATTATTTGAAAAAATTTTGTGGTAAATTCTTGAATTCTTGGGTTGAAAGTGTAATGGAGATCGAATTCTTTATTGGAGGCAAGATTAATGCACACCATGCAATTTCACGATTCATATATGGTTTGTAATTAATTCTTTTTATTTTTCCTAAACAAAATGTACTAAGGTTTTTTTTTTATGTAAGCAATAGAAATGGTTTTTCCTATGCTAGTTTACATTGGAAAGGAAGTTTTTGATTGTCTGGATTAAATTTGGACCATTACACTCTTAGGCCTAGTTATTTTGTTTTAGTTTTTCATTGCTGATTGTTGCTGCTATGAATCATGCTCAAGAATTTTTATATCATATTTTTTGAAATGATGCATGTTTTACACACCAAACCTTAGGCCAAATTGACCTAGTTTTGGTCCACCATACATGGGTCGAATGTATGGTTCTTTGGGGATTGTTAATAGCCCCTTATATCACTAAATAAGTGATCATTCTCAAACCTAGGCCAAGGGTTTGATGGGCCTTTACATGAACCAATTCGGCCCACACTTGTGAAACCTAGTTGGTTTTAGATTAAAACAAGATAAGGACATTTTAGCATGAACTGCTATATGGGCCAAACTTTATTTATTTATTTATTTACTTTTTTTGCAATTGGACTCATATACTAAGTTGAATTTTATTGGATAAGTGGGTCCAATAATGGGCTGATAATGTGTTAATCTAACTGGATCTAGGTTTTATAAGATTTAAATTGATTTTGATCATTTATGTATATGGGATTGTGATTTGTACATGGGCCATAAGTGCTTGGCCCATGTGAAGATTTTATGTAGATCTCTACACCCATCATGGCTGAATGTACATCATTGCCATGATGTTCGTAGACCATTGAGTGATCTCCCACTTAATGGGCCATTCTTTTGTTTCCGCTCCAAAGAAGGGAACCCCGTGAGAACCCTAACCCATTTGGGCCCATTTAAATGTAACTCTATGAAAGTCAATGAGAGCCACTATGGAAAGACCTAAACCAACTTAGGGAGTAATATAATTGTTCCTTCATTTATGATATAGGTGTTAGATGATATAGGATTTCATAGAATGATATTTCTAAACGCCTTCCATCATTAGCATGAAAATGGACCGAATTGGTAGGCAGAGATGCACCATAAAATTAGGATATCTATTTGACTGAGTTGAATTGCATCATTAAATGATAAGGGCATCATAGACTAGTAGGAGGGCCCTATAATAAAATGGAAGACTCTCTTATAGTACCTCGGGGCTCTCAATATGATGGGTCAGTACTTACTGATTAGAAAGATTTATCCTAAAATGGCTATGAATCTTGTATAATGGATGCCAAAGGGGACACTCATGAGACATGGATTGATTCATGATCCTTCGTAGAAAGTGTTGGAGTTATGCAGGTAAAACAGTTGGCCCCATGCACCTATGTGATTTCCAACATTTCTAGAGAGATGAATAACATTTCCATTCCTAAGATAGAGGGAAATCTTAGAGATGAACAAATGGAAATGGAGTATAGATAAAAGTCCATTATATGGTATATAACATGAAACAATAATTAGGTCATAGACTAATTACTCATGCAACTTGTCAGAAATGACACATAAGCCATTCGCTAAGTTACTGGGTGATAACAAACTTAAAGGACCCAACCATGCAAATTGGATTTGCAACCTTAATGTAGTGCTCACGTCTGAGAAATTGAACAAGATTGCCAATCAGGAATCACCAAAATGTCCTAGTGAAAAAGCCTTTATGATTTGAAAGAAAAAATGAGAAGAGAAGAACTCTCTTGCCTGTTGTTACATCATTACTTCACTAGACAACTCTATCCAAAGACAATTTGATAAAATAACATCTTGTAAAAGAATTCCAAATAGTTTAAAGGACACACGAATAATATGGGATTGAGGCTAATAAGTGATTGGACCTAAGTGTAAGAGGGAGCTATTAGACATTATATGGCCTTAGCTTCAATCAGATTGATGTACATAAACATTTATCAGTAAATGAATAAAGTGCATTATTATTTTATGTTTAAGTCAGTGTATTTCTATGAATTACTCTTTAAACTACACATTTCTGAGACTCGTATTAGTTTAGAATGTTCTCATCCATTGGATAGACTTGAAGAGTTTATCTTGACAAGGATAACACCAGTGTGCTACCGCATTGGAAGAGCAACTTCTCTCAACAGCTAGGATTAGATCCCAAGCATAGATAATGGGTGTTTGGAAAAAAAAAACACTAATCCCAGACTTGATTATGGTACTACACTAGGTTTCAGACTAAACTATCTTTGATATTCCAACCAATGAGATCCATTAGGGGTCAAATATCTAAGTATGTTGGGGTATTTTAATAAATTACCTGAGTGGGTGATCATAGTGATAGGATCAGCCCCTTTGTCAAATAGAGTGAATATCAAGATTTACACTCTCTTTGATGGAAAACCTAAACTGTCGACAATGAATTTTGATTCTACTAGAAACCTAATTTGAAAAATGTATTTATATGCTATATTATGATTTTATAAAATGGTTTGCAAAGGGTTTTAATCCCGAGATTCATCCGAGTAGAGCAGAGAGTGTGACATTGCATTTTGCAATTGAGGAAGAAGTCCTTCCCTATGAGCAATGTTTTGATGAT